GTGGTGGGCCGCCCTATCCCCTTGCCCCCCTCCCCCCCACCCTACAAAAAAAACAACCTGCTTATTCCCTTAAAGACACAGCTTCAGAAATAAAAGGTCAGCAAAACGGAAAATGCCCTGCATGTGTCCTTAAGGGTTAAACTTACGATTTTTTTTCTAGTGGCCAAGTTCTCCATCAGCCCAATCTTCCTCCACTGACGTCAGTCTACCTGGTAGATCAGGTAGGGTAGCTTGAGGGGAGGACATGAGTGGGACATAGGGGGTCTGTTGCACCATTATCTGCCTGGTGCCTCCATGATTTGTGTGCTGGTTTCAAACACCAATATTGCACAGAATAGATATTAGCCAAATCGGAGGTTTGTTGCTGCTGGGGGAGGAAGGAGTTACACCTCCGGCAGCTAAGGGGTTAATCTCAAGAAACACTGCACCTACAGACTTCAAGCACCATGACTACTTCAAAACAGTCAAGTGGTCATGGTGTTTGAAGTAACCCTTTAAGAAATCAGAGTCTTGACGAAAAGAACTTACAAAGAGCGCATTGTACCAGCAGTGCAGGATGTGAAAATTACCACTTCTCTTTCCACTCTCTAACCAGCTCTCGGCAGAAGTAGCTGAGCCTGAAATGGTTCATTGCATCAGGATGCTAAACAGAATGTCCATTCACCGTACTAAAGCCTTGCACTGATGCAGCTTCCTTCAGCAAGCTTTGGCCATACAGAGGACTTTCGCTTAATTTATAAGAATTAAATGGAGTCCAGTTATATAAAGGTAAGAAAAGGAACCCTCCTGCATTACAAAGAATGGTATTTTATTTTTTTAAGAATGTTGGAGTGTTCCTTTAAATAAGTGTTCATATACCTGTTTGAGCAGTATTTGAAGGAAGGGACACTGTGCATAACTTGCCAGTATTAGTGAGTTAACTAATAATTACCAGTGACTGATAAAATCTGAAGGTCTCTATTTCTCATCCCGTTCACATGACATAAGATTTTACAATCGAGATCACTTTGTCCAAACAACTTCCCACTGTGTATTAAATCCCCGGCCTGTTAAAAATGTGCTGGCATGTAAGCCTCCATGTAAAAATAATGTTTATAGAAACCGACAATAAATACGGAGTTTCAAGTAAAGCAAAGACATTAAATTATGCTCTTGCTTAATACGTTTCTCTCCATTTGTGGGGAAATACATTTTCCCTTGCAATGTAAACATTTCCCTCAGCTGTAAATTAAAACAGTTGACAGATAAGGCCCAGGTGATTTAAAGAGCCTTCGTAAAAACATAGATTATCTAATTTATATGCTTCGAAAAGAACTCTTGGTATAGTCTCAAAGTTACATTATTATTATTATAATGTAGAAAAATGTAAAGAGAAATCTCTTTATGTGCTGTTACTAAACTAGGGTAAGTGGATAAAGGTACACCAACTCAGTAGCAATAAATGCACATGATATTACTTCAAAGCAGGCCTGCACAACCTGCAGCCCCCCAGATGGTTTTGAAATACAACACCCATAATTCTTTGAATAAAACAGATAGCCAATGCCGATGGAAAATTTTATTAATCAGATAGCCAGAAAATCATGGCTGATAGATAGAGGATCATGGGAGTTGTAGTTCAAAACATCTTGGGGGGAGAGCAGGCTGTGTAGACCTGCTTTAAAGGAACACTATAACCTTAGGAACACAAATCAGTATTCCTTTTGCTATAGTGCCCGGGTCATTGTTTGGGTGACTGGGCCCTGCTGTCATGGTTAAAAATGTGAGTTTAATTACCTTTTCTCCTTCATTGTGCTAGTCTCCAGTGTGCTGCTCTGCCTCGATGATCTCAGCTAATCCAGTGCTTTTGGGAGGCTAGTGCGCATGAATGGCAAAACGCCACGCTGCGCCAAAAAGATGGTCTCTATTTTTCCTGCTTTGTGGATTACTGCTTCTTTTGGGCAGAACCGAATCTGGGCACCCTTTTTAACAGTAAGTGATCAACCATAACGTGTTTGCATATTATATTTAAAGGTAATCTTTAACTCATCATAACCATGTTTGCTCCAGGCATGGGTTTTTGAACAATGAGCTCACTTTTCCTTGTTTATTATATAATATTGCTACAGCAGTTTGCAAAAATCATACAGCTATCTGCCCAAACCTTTTGACTCTGGAATTATAGTGGGAACTAATCTTCTTCTCCTTGAAAGTAACTTTCTCTTGAAGCTTTCTATGAAAGAGCCTGCACAGCAATCTGTCATGGATCATCACTGCGTCCTTCAGCCTTAAACCTAGGCCCCTGTGTCTCATTCACTCCTCCCCAGCCCCTCCATGTACCTCATTCCCCCCCCCTGACCCTCCCTGTATCTCATTCCCACCTCCTGCGCCCATGTATCTTATTTCCTCCCAGCCCCTCCATGTGTCTCATTCCCTCCCAAGGGAATTAGACCACGTGTCTAATTCCCTCTCCCCTTCTGCTCCAGGTGTTTTAATCCTTCACCAAGCCCCTCCTTGTGTCCCATCTCCTCAAGCCCCTCCTCGTGTCTCACCTACCCCAATCAAGACCCTCCATGTGTCTCACCTACCCCAATCAAGCCCCTCCATGTGTCTCACCTACCCCAAGCAAGCCCCTTCATGTGTTGCATCCCCAAGCCTCTCCATGTGTCTCCTGCCTGTAGAATTAACTATATGCCAATCTACCTGAATATGCAAATTCAGACAAGTCTTGCTATTCAGGTAGTGCATATAGCTGTTGCTACTGACAGGTGGTGCTGTACAGGCTCCACAGCCAAATCCAACTCCTTGGTAGCAAGCATCAGAAGGACAGGAGAGCACAAAAAACATAATAATAAAACAATACAAAACCTGTACCTATAATGGGTACAGGGTGACAGACATAGGCGTAGTCCAGGGCCTTACATAAAGTGTCCGTATAAACCTTCAGGTACCACTGATCAGGCAAGAAGTGCTCTCCCAGTGAGCACATCCTGTCTGACCGCATGGCTGGGCTACATACAGCGGCAGGAGGAGAGGAGCACACAACTGGGCGCCCCTGCCTGTTACGTCAGTGCACCGGCCCTGAAGGTATGCGGGCGGCCCACGGGTGCAGGGGTCACAGCGGAAGCTGGGCCCCCTGGAGTGATGGGCCCGGCCGCTGCTGCCACCCCTGCGACTGTGGTAGTTACGCCACGTGCTGTGCGCCCTTCCCACATCACTTTTGATATATACTGTCATTTCTGTACCCTTATCACTACTCCCGCATCCCTCATGCACGTCGGATTCCCAGTTTTTGATATTTATGCACTGGCGCTTTTTCTCTGCTAGTGCTACTTTCTTGTTTCTTTTAATTCAAGAACCTTATAAAACATTAAAAAAATAAAAGTGTACAACCACTTAGTGATGAATATCATAGCTGCAAGCACATCACACTTTGTAAGGGTATAACACTCTGAACATAGGAAGATACTGAGATTATATGAAGAATGTGTGAAAGCTAGGCATTTATTTGGACCTCACTTCTTTCTTTTTTTAGTATCTTATTAGGTGTAGTGATGTCCCGAACGGTTCGCCGCGGACTCCAGTCAGCAGACACATTCCAGCCAATCAGCAGCAGACCCTCCCTCCCTCCCACCTCCTGGACAGCATCCATTTTGAAGCTGCATTCTTAGTGAGCTTTCCAGGAGGTGGGAGGGTGGGTCTGCTGCTGATTGGCTGGAATGTGTCTGCTGACTGGAGTCTGCGGCAAACCGTTCGGGACATCACTAATTAGGTGTCATTTGATATATTGCTTGCTTGTACCTCAATAATATACAGTAAAATCAATATTTCACTTTTACTCATACATATTGGGGACTTTGATGCTCTTGTCTTAAATGACCTTCCGTTTTGATATTGTGGGGGTCTTGGTCCACATCAAGGGGCTGCCAAAATTATGAAAACGTAAAGGGACATCCCAGAACTCCTAAAGCAATTTAGCTTACTGAAATGCTTTATGTGTGATGAGTGGGTCCTTTTTTTTTTTTTCATTTTGCAAAAAATGCAGATTTCAATAGAAATTGGCACTTTTATAAATTAACTTTGTAACACTCCCTGGCTGTCAGTCATACAACAGGTCATGTTACTGCCTGGTTTGTTTAGCTCAGGGAAGCCAAACTCAAGTGACAGGAAATTGCTCAGAGCACCTGCTTTGCAAAGACTTATTAAGCTGCATTGGGAAGTCTGTGAATGTAGTCTGTGTTGGGTTAGAAGGAGAGGGCTTGCAAAGGCTTCAATCAAGAGATCTGGAGCTTTTACATGCCGTTTCTAGGGATACCTCCAATGAAAAAATGCATGAAATTATTTTTATTTGGGCAGTGGAGTGTCCCTTTAATTGCATCCAAATGTTTTAATAAACATGTGTAACATTCTATGCCATTGTTCAAGGAAATCCATTTTCATCTAGCAGCTTTAAAATGTTAACTAAAGCAGACCTTAAATCCTAGTGATTGTAAAAGGAAAACTCTAGACACCATCACAACTTTAGATCAATTAAGTTGTTTTGGTACTGTCGGCTTTTCCATTCTTCTTCGAGCGAAGTCCTCAGCTTTAATGAGCTATCACTAGCTTCCCACTGAGAAAACTGTATGTGAAGCTAGTGATATCTACACAGGCTTCCTCACTGAAGTCGATGGGCACAGTATACACAAAATTATGGTTAATGTATTTAGAAATGGAATAACTCCCTAAGGGTCACATGGCACCCTGGACCTCCAGGCAACATAACTTTAATGAGTTAGTGTGCCAAGGTTTTCCCTTTAAAGATTGAAAGAACGTTTACAAGCAATTAGAACTCAGGCACATGCAGTTTATGTTTTGCGGTTTTGATGGCTGATGGCACCACCTGCAGGCAGATAAGATAACATGAGTTAATAGATTTTTTGGCTTCATGAAAGATCTTTATTATATTGTACTTATTACCTTACTGTGGTCACATGCTTGCTTTCATATGCAGACAAAATGACGTAAACTGTAAGAATGATCTTGTTTTAGGATTTGTTGCCCAACTGTACATAGAGATGTTCCTTAAATGGACACTAAGTACCAAAACCAATGCATCTTAATGTAGTAGTTTTGATCGATAGATGATGCTCCTTTTGTCTGAGAGTAAAACATTGCCATTTCTCAGAAATTGTAATGCTTAGATTTGAATGAAAATACTCCCCTATATAGCCGCAAGAGAGTCACTTCCATTTTCAGATTTTTGAAGGACATAACATTCGGCATCAACATGCACAGCAGGATGACGTCAACTGCAGCTAATGCTTTTCATTGCCATGCATACACCATGTATACACCATGTGTCTCCAATGCTTGTCCATGTGGATGACTTAAAGGGATTCTCCAGTGCCAGGAAAACATTTGTTTCTCTAGTCCCCATCTGCCTCCCACCCCAAGTTGCTGAAGGGGTTAAAACAGACAAACAGGGCTATTTATTAGACTTGTAGTTACGATTCGGCTTGAACTGCAATTCGTCTAAATCTGGGCCAATCAGGTGATCGCAAATCACAAATCAACCAAGATGCGCAAGATGGCCGAATATGTTTGTTTTAGGTCATGAATCTCAATTCAGCGCATGGCGACAAAGAACAAAAAAAAAAAGAAAAGAAGAAAAAAGATGATTGACATAAAAAATTTATTTACAGATCTAGTGAGAAGTGATAGAGAGGCAAAAATGTGTGGTAGAAAAAATAAATCTATATTTACATATATTATCAATTTAATGAATATATAGTTTTCCTTTTATTGCTACACCTATTGGTTACTTTTTCTTTCTTGATCTGTGAACCAAATAGCAGGAAAAAGCTCTTCTCAATGTACTGCAAAATACATACATAATATCATGTATATATTGTGCAGTGCACTGATAGGCCCATTTTAGCACCTTTTTGCTTTGTCAGATTCAATTTCCAAACTGGATTTTTGGTACTGAAATTCTGCCGAGCTGAACAGACATATGGCTGAAATTCGGGTGTCCTGAAAAAAAAGCATCAGATAAAAAGGGATATTATACCAGGTGGGCCAAAATTTATAGTAAGGTTTGAGGAGTCAATAACCTTTTTCTTAAATAACTAATTTCAGTTATATTACATTCAATGAATGCTTAAAGGGACACTATAGTCGCCAGAACAACTACAGCTTAATGTAGCTGTTCTGGTGAGTAATCATTATATGCAGGCATTTTCAGAGAAAAGGCAGTGTTTACATTGCCACTAGGGACACCTCCAAGTGGCCACAAACAGTAGGCAGTTCTGCCGTTCAGCGTCCGCTGAATTTTCCTCATAGAGATGCATTGTATTCAATTCATCTCTATAAGGAGGTTCTGATTGGCCAAAACGGTGTTTGCCCCGACCCCTTGCCGATTTTAGCCAATCCAATGTTTTCCCCATGGGGGCAGGGCCAGTGTCGGCAGACCTGCCCGACGCTGGAAATAAGGTATTTAATGCTTTTAAAGGAGGTAAGGAGCAGGAGGGGTAAGCCACGTTAATGGTGGGTTTTGCACTATAAGGACACTCAATGAATCTCTGAGGAAAGTTCAGTGTCTGCATGCAGAGGGAGAAGATACTGAATCACAGAATGCTGTGCACAGTGCCGCCCTGTGCTCTGCTGACAGCAGATCTGAGGGATGGAGGCATATTATATTAGTCCCTCTAGTTCACTCTGAGTGACTGCAACTGGAGGTGTTCCTAGCTTTCAATGTAAACACTGTATTTTCTCAGAAAATACAGTGATTACATGAGAAAGGCTGCAGGGAGCTATAGTTCTCACCTGAACAACCTCATTAAGCTGAAGTTGTTCAGGTGACTATAGTGTCCCTTTAATAACATTAGTTAATGTTTGAGGCTCTAGCACTCAAAATTTCTGCACGGTTATTCTCCTTGCGCTGCTCAAATATATGCGGTTCATGCACATGCACTTGCTTCTTCAGATTACCCAAAAGAAGTAAGCGGGAGCTAAAAGGTCAGGCAAACATGGCAGCCAATTAATCTGTGAATTGCTTGAAATAATCCCACTCCCTGAACAGTTAATTAAATGGTCAAATCTTACTCTGAATTTTGGCCCACCCTGAACCTCAAATGTAATAAACCTTATACAGTCAGGTCCATAAATATTGGGACACCGACACAATTCTTATCTTTTTGGCTCTATACACCACCACAATGGATTTGAAATGAAATGAACAAGATGTGCTTTAACTGCAGACTTCCAGCTTTAATTTGAGGGTATTTACATCCAAATCAGGTGAACGGTGTAGGAATTACAACAGTTTTTATACGTGCCTCCCACTTTTCAAGGGACCAAAAGTAATGGGACAGTTGGCTGCTTAGCTGTTCCATGGCCAGGTGTGTGTTATTCCCTCATTATCCCATTTACAAGGAGCAGATAAAAGATCCAGAGTTCATTTCAAGTGTGCTATTTGCATTTGGAATCTGTTGCTGTCAACTCTCAATATGAGATCCAAAGAGCTGTCACTATCAGTGAAGCAAGCCATCATTAGGCTGAAAAAACAAAACAAACCCATCAGAGAAATAGCAAAAACATTAGGTGTGGCCAAATCAACTGTTTGGAACATCCTTAAAAAGAAAGAACGCACCGGTGAGCTCAGCAACACAAAAAGACCCGAGAGACCACAGAAAACAACTGTGGTGGATGACCGAAGAATTCTTTCCCTGGTGAAGAAAACACCCTTCACAATAGTTGGCCAGATCAAGAACACTCTCCAGGAGGTAGGTGTATGTGTGTCAAAGTCAACAATCAAGAGAAGACTTCACCAGAGTGAATACAGAGGGTTCACCACAAGATGTAAACCATTGGTGAGCTTCAAAAACAGGAAGGCCAGATTAGAGTTTACCAAACAACATCTAAAAAAGCCTTCACAGTTCTGGAACAACATCCTATGGATAGATGAGGCAAAGATCAACTTGTACCAGACTGATGGGAAGAGAAGAGTATGGAGAAGGAAAGTAACTGCTCATGATCCAAAGCATACCACCTCATCAGTGAAGCATTGTGGTGGTAGTGTCATGGCGTGGGCATGTATGGCTGCCAATGGAACTGGTTCTCTTGTATTTATTGATGATGTGACTGCTGACAAAAGCAGCAGGATGAATTCTGAAGTGTTTTGGGCAAGAAATTATCTGCTCATATTCAGCCAAATGCTTCAGAACTCATTGGACAATGACCCGAAGCATAATGCAAAAGCAACCAAAGAGTTTTTTAAGGGAAAGAAGTGGAATGTTAAGCAATGGCCAAGTCAATCACCTGACCTGAACCCGATTGAGCATGCATTTCACTTGATGAAGACAAAACTGGAGGGAAAATGCCCCAAGAACAAGCAGGAACTGAAGACAGTTGCAGTAGAGGCCTGGCAGAGCATCACCAGGGATGAAACCCAGCGTCTGGTGATGTCTATGCGTTCCAGACTTCAGGCTGTAATTGACTGCAAATGATTTGCAACCATGTATTAAAAAGTGAAAGTCTGATTTATGACTGTTAATCTGTCCCATTACTTTTGGTCCCTTAAAAAGTGGGAGGCACATATACAAACTGTTGTAATTCCTACACCGTTCACCTGATTTGGATGTAAATACCCTCAAATTAAAGCTGAAAGTCTGCAGTTAAAGCACATCTTGTTCATTTCATTTCAAATCCATTGTGGTGGTGTATAGAGAGCCAAAAAGATTAGAATTGTGTCGATGTCCCAATATTTATGGACCTGACTGTACACCATAAAACTGTATAGACTACAGTCAGCGCTTCCCTTTTTAAAGACTATTCTTGAATAGTTACAGTATTAAAGGTATATGCATATCTGGAAAATATCCACAGTGACCCCTAGGGCTCTGAATATGACAAGTTATCACAGTGGGCACAGGCCACAATCTCAATCATCGCAATTTTACACAAGCTTTCAATTGATGGAACTAAAGAGTTAAATCTCATTGCTTTTGCTGATCATAGGTTTTAATTGAATATATTTGTTGTAACCAGCACGGTTAACATTCAATATCACACTCAAAGATCAAAAAGGACCACGCATCAATTAATTCTTCGCTTCACAAGTTCTGTATCTAGGTTTCCTAGAATTCAGTGTACACACTTTAATGCCATCATTTGATAATAAATCACATCAAATTTCCAAATGGTCTCAGCAAAATTTCACTGAAACATGAAACGGATTGTATATTCTTGTGTGGTAAGATTGACTATAGGGAACCAACATATACTTGTATTTCCAAGTGATAGGCATTATCTAATATTTGCTAGGATTGTTTTCTCCTTTAGCACTGTATTATTATATACATAACACAAAATATCCAGATTTCAACATTATACATCACTTTTTATGTATATTGTCTGTGTCCTGGTTTCCATCTTTTGACGAATTACCCTTTTCCAACTCTATACGACTTTAGTAAATTTGAGAATTACCATTGCAGTCGAAATTTGGTCACTTTCACTGAATTTTGTTCAGTTGCAAAAAATCTGCTGTTTAGTTAATAACCCTCTCTATTTTTTTTTTATTTTTTTTTAACAAATTGCATACTAGCATGCATGATACGCCGTTGGTTGTTTAAGACAATGCACTCCAAAGCCCAGGTGTATTGCATCAATAAAACAAAAATTATCAAGTTCTACAAAAGCTGGGCATCACAGGCCAATCAGCAGCGTCAGCTGCAATAGATTCAGAAAATAATCTTTCTTCAAAACAGCATCAGCTGTAATATAACATATGAAAAATGATGTAATCAAAACTTCATTAGACTTTTACCAGAGTCAAACGGGGCACCACTGCACATAAGCAGGCAGGATGCTACAGTAACCAGCTGATTGTGATCAAATGATTTGCGTAGTCCAGTCATGGGGGTACCTTTGAAACAAAGACTTAGTTTTGGTTCCTATTCGGGTGCTTAGAATAAGTATTATAGGAAATCACATCTCTGACTCACATTAAAACCATAACAGAATTTTAAGTCGCTGTTGTGTAAATGACCAACATATACATTCACCATGCCACATAAGCAGTAGTAATTATTGCTAATTGAACTAAGTGGACAGGGATATAACATTATAAAAGCTTTCAGGTCCTATTAAACTACTTGTCTAGCCCTTACAACTTATAGCTGTTTTTCACCTAAGGAAGCTTTAACATGTTACATTGCTTCAAGATGAATAATAGCCTTTATTATAAATTACCTTCACAAGACTCAATGTGTGTGTAGACTCAACAATGGCTATTTTCTCCGCAAGCTTAGGGAATTTTATAACATTTTACTGTGTGTAAAATGTCAAGAAAGAATGGAAGTATGCTGTTTTTTTGTCAGCCATTTTTAGACATGAAAGTTTAGGAACACCATTTTGGTACATACTTAAACTTCATGATATATCAATATGCCAAGGCTATGAGAACATGTCATGCAATAAAATGTATTGTATAATTTTACGGACTATTATTCCTTTCATGGCCTTAATAGTGGGTTTTAATCCCCCTGCTTGCTCCTAAATACTGCATGAAGAGTCCCACAATCCAATTATCCTAGATCTATCCTCTAAACTTTGAATTGTTTAGAAGCAAAAACATTTGAAAATTCAGGTTAAAACAGCCAAGCTGTGTTCTACTTTAATCTGCTATTCTGCTTCAAAAACATATTTATAAATCCAATTGACTATGGCTGCTAAAGTTGCAATATCTAGATACTGGTAGAAACAATAAACTCCTACCTAGGAATATATTCTAAAATCAACTCAAATATCAATATATCATGGCAAAAGGGATATATTTTGGTAATTTTCTTTGAAAACTTACTTCTTTAGGAAAGCATATCAATTAAACTGTGAACAGCTTTCCCTCCCCACACCCCGATTCCTCTCCTGAAACAGTCATCAAAACAAAACACTAAGCCCTCAATTAATACTATCCAAGCAACCTACTTTTCTACTCAACCCTTGTGTCACTATACCCCACTCTCTCTAGCATGTAAGCTCATTGAGCAGGGCCCTCAATCCCTCTGTTCCTGTGCGTCCAACTTGTCTGGTTACAAATACGTGTCTGTTAGTCCACCCATTGTACAGCGCTACAGAACTTGTTGGCGCTTTATAAATAATAATAATAATAATAAAAAGATTGGTATGAAAAGAGATGGCAACCCTTGCTGGAAACATTTATCTTAAACTAAAATTTCTGTTTAGCTTAACTAGCATACAATAGTTAATTGAACAGTCCTGATACTTAAATATGAGCTAGTATAAATCCTCTACTTCTAAATAATACCCCCAGCTGGCCAGTGACCCGTTCTGCACGTGTGCTTATTGTTGTTGGTATATAAAGTATGTAATTCGAATACATGAACTGTACTTCAAGGTCACTTATACTATACCATTGTCTATTAATGTAATGTCTGTATTTTGTAAAATGAATAAATAAATAAAAAATAGCCAAGCTATGACTGAGAAAAAATTATATGCTGACAATTCATCACGGTCTACGTGTTCCTAGCAACTGTACTACAATTTAGTGGCATTTTGAACAGAATAGAATAAAATAAAAAAGTAGACTAGGACCCAGTAGTATAGGTGCACTTTGTAAGCAGTGGCAGGCTTAAATGCAACATAGTCATATGGTCTTATTAAATCAAGCTTCCAAGCTCCAAAACTATGGAACTATGCTCTCAGTCTATCGCTGGCCACCTATTGAGAGAAATACAGTATCAGATAAAAGCTTTCCACTTATCACCAGCCCCCAGATAAACTTTCCACAGTATAAATAACTTATCATTTATAATGATCCCACAATCTACAGCAGTCGCTACAGCTCCCATCCTACTCATATCCATGCGTATGGGTATCACTGAGTGTACCTAGGTATTGGGGAATGTGCTTGTATATGCATACACACAAACAGGTGACCACGTGCACACAGAGTTACTTTTCCATATATATTTCCAGACAGGTGATAATTTGTACATTGTTGCTGTAAATGCAAATGTTTCTGCGTGTGGAGAGTGGAAAAACACTGAGAATGATTGGTAATTCACAATCCGCCATTTGTCTACCCCATTTACATCTAGTAGTCAGCAGAGCAGATAGACAATCACATTTTCTTCTGTACTTTTATATGAATAACATTTGAATCCGTTCCCCCCCCTGTACATTTAAATAAATAATTGATTATGTTTAGTGGTTAGGCCAGCCCTGTTGTAGCTATTTTAATAAAGATAACAGTAAGTCTTTTATCCAATTCCAACAAGCTTTGTCTACTTATTTCAACTACCTAACTAAACCTAGAGGAATGAGAATTTTGGTTAATTAAATGTTAAAAGAAAGACCACAGACTAAAGAAAAATTATATAAAAAGCATTGTAATCAAAATGGAGGGAGTTCTATTGATTATTCATGATGAAATGGTTTTACTGAAACATGTTATATGAAAAAAACAAGATCTTTACAGTAAAATTTACCTTCATAATTCAATCAAACCAGTGCTGTCTGACAAAAATATGTCACAGAAGAAATGCTTGCAGGACTATGCCCTTGGTGTTGTGAACAGACATTCTGTCTTACATTTGGCATAACCAGTTTCTGTTGTACACTGGGCATCTCGTACTTCTTGTGTTCAACATTTAGAGGCCATACAAAGAGTGATTAAGTAATTACTTATTCCTCATTCTCTAACGTGATACTACTTGCGTTCTTCCCTTCTTTGAATTTGTTAGACTTGTCCATATGTTTCAGTGTCCCTTTAAAGTTTTGCATTTTAGATGCTCCTTTCAATTTTGCCAACTGCAGTTTCTTCTTACGTCGAACAAGATCTTCACGTCCAATCTCAATCATCTGGTCCTCCCAAGACTTCATCTCATTTTCATATCGAATCTTGTCATCTTCTGCTAGCTGAATATATGCCTGCAAAGACATTAGTGTTGACTAATTGAATGTAATTCTTCCTAGCAGTTCTCACTAAATCTACTGTGTTATTTAGCAAGTGAATGGATGTGAAGGTAAACTTTGACCACCACCATTCACATTTTTAACTGTACACATTTTTAAAGGAACACTAGAGTGTTAGGAATACAAATCTTTTTGCCCACTTACCTGTTTCTAGCATTGAGGTCCCCTTGGGGCTGGCTAGGTCTCCTCCTTAGTAGACATCAATAGTAAAACTTGATGCACATGCACGGTGTTCAACGCAAACGCATTAAAGCTTACCCATAGGAAGGCACTAAATCAATGCTTTCCTATGAGGAATTGAAAGATATTAGACATCCTCATGCAAAGCGCAAGGACACCGAACATCAATTCACGGAGTAAAGCTTTGTTAGGGACCATAAAGTACTTCTAGTGGCAGTCTGCAGGACAGCCAAAAGATGTGTAGTTAACCCTGCAATGTGACCACTGTAGTTTCTCACCAACTGCAATGTTTTACATTGCTGGCTTAAATCGGGCTGCATCAGCATTTCCTCATAGAGATGCATTACATGCAGATCCACCATGCAGAGTGTGGAGACGCTGAACGCCAGTGCGGCACGGGCACAGGAAGCACATCTAGTGGCCGTCTAGGCAGAAATGTAAACACTGCCTTTTGCATGATAAAATTACATTAAAAAGCCTGCAGGGACAGGCTGTAGACACCAGAACAGCTGCATTAAGGTGAAGTTGCTTTGGTGACTATAGTTTCCCTTTAATCTCAGTATAAATCAGATTAAATAAGATTTCAAGCAAATTTTTATTAAGGCAAAATAAAAAATAAAAAAACATAAGTTGCCATCTGTAAGTGTATGAGAGATGTAAATAATCCAGTATCCTGGTTTAGTATAAGTTTCTTACAACATTACAATTTTACTTGGTTCTACAATATATGAGAAATGATATTGGCTCTTTGAAAAGATAAAATAAACAGAAAAATTTTTTTTTTAAATGTACAATTAAATAACTGCAATGTACATTTGAATACACACCTGCTTTTGTGAATCATTCAGACATCTCCAGTCTTCACGCACATTCTTCAACTTTGACTATAAAAAACAAAATGTATTTAAGTTAGTTGACTCTAATAGCATTTTTCTTAACATTCATCATAAACATTTTCAGTTTCAAAAAACAAATAGTCTCTTATATACCGGTACTGAGGCCCCTTTAGCTTCGTGAAAGTGTTCAGACATGAAGACGTTAAATGCAGAGCGTGGTCTCTTTGGTTTTCCCAGTAATGACAACTCCTGTTAGATAAAATAAAAATCAGAACATAAATGTCCACATGTACATACAACTCAGCTCAAAATACATTGATATGTTTTCTCTCTAATTCTATCATTTTGCTTAATGTATATTCAATTATATTTACTCCACATTCAATGTGTAGTGAAAAACACTACTATTATTTATATTTTTACATGCTTACTGTGTACAGTTTATTGATTGTAAAACAGTGCTCCTTCTAGTGGAACAATTCTGGATTGATTTATCTTACTTGAATTATTGGGGGTTTTTTTGCACACAATCTTTTGTCTCAATGCACATTTGCCCTCTAGATAACAAGCTCTCAGGACTTCTTACATTAGTACCTTCTGGGAGGCTAGAGGATTTTCGTTAGCATCAAGATAGTGAAGAAAAATAGAATAATATTTAAAGGGTCCTCACAGTAGGTAACAGGTTGTAAAGAAATAACAGATGGGTGCTTTGGGAATAGATCAGGATTCAGTATTTGCAGGAAGAAGTGGTGAGATTAAATGAATGCTCTAAGCTTTTATTATGTGCAATCCCTAGATCTTGATTTTTTTGTTCCTTTCTGCTCAACAGCAAAGAACTGGACAGAGATAAAGGCATAAACACATATCCATCGTACGGCACTGTGGAATATGGTGTTTCATAAAATAATAATCTAGTGCTCTACCATTTGCAGTCAGCAAGGACTCCAGTATATGTCAATTCAACCCCAAAATCACATAATATTTGTATAACTAATGTTAATTGGGCATTTGCTAGTTCTGCACTATTTGTGTGTTATCTGATGGTTGGGGTGTGTATGAGGTGTTTAGATACAGTGGGAGTGCAGTTGTATTGATAGCACTGCAGACTAGGGTCATGACAATACATTTAATTAAAGTAATGCGGACCAGAGGAAGAAATGGAGGAACAAGGTGTGGATTGTGGTGAGTGAGAAGTATAAGTGGAGCAGATGTGTTTGTAATGAGCTGGAGATCACCAACTTTCCCAATTAGTGTCAAATAAATGAAACGATGATATCCATAATTTTATATTTTGTCTATACTATATCCCATGGCTTCAATATTGCAAACTTACATCTCCAAACTTCACTATGGTATGCTGAGCAGCTTAAATGGATAAACAGGACCATTTTAAACTGCAAGTAATCTGTATGTTATGCAGGCCGAATGCATAATACATACACAAACAGAAAAAGCAAACCAATTGATTATCTCATACTCTTGTTGATTGTGAAGTTGAATATTTGTCTATGTCGCACACAGACACCCACCTGTAACCTGTCCAAAAAGTAAAGCTTCCATAAACGGATGCAAGTATGAGGAAAAGCAGGAACCTTTCTGTGGCTACCCTGCATGTATACATTGGATATTTCTCATGTTTTAAAATCTAATCTGCCACACTATATACAAACACACACAATATCTAGTAAAATATAAAACTCTGGTTTCTGGATTAAAATTGAATGTTGAGAAGAGCATCTTTAGTCAAAAGATAAAAATATAACTTTTACGCATAGAAAAAGAATCCTACCCTTTTTTTGCGTATGATAATTCTTTTGCTTCGCTTGTGTTTCCTTTCTTCTCTCAATGCTTGTAATTCCACTGGAGACAACGTTTCTTTGTATTTTTTCAAGTCTGCTACGTATATTTTCAGTTCAGATTTCGCAGCTTCCAGATAGGGCTAAAAATAGGCAATAGGTATGTTTTACATATATATAGACAAGAGGAATGCGCTCACTTGAACATGCATAATTATAAGGGTCCTGCTGGGGCCAATGAATACAACATACAAGATCTGGAGCACTCACAAAACGTTTTTTCAAAAACACCTGACATAAGCAAAAACAATGGAGACTTAGTTACAGTATATACATTGCATAAGCCTGCCTCAATGCCAATTTACTCAATTTTTTTGCAGGTCCTATTCTAACAACCTAATGCCTGCTTTTATAAGATTAATCCACTTACTTGAGAAATGCTTCCTCCTTATGCTCTCTTTGGGACAAGGTTAAATTGGGACCTGTGACAGGAAGGGGTGCAAAGCCACAGGAGTTGGCTTGGACTCCCAAATATATATTTGAAACCAAGAGGGCTACACTAACATGCATACATTTTAAGGATGCTGCTGGAGTTCTTTAATACAACACACAAGATCCAGCAGACTCACGCAATCACTACACAGCAATTTCAAGGCTCACAACATTCATTATTTGGAAAAACATAATAAAAAAATAACTGACTTAGGCAAAAATAATGGGGGTTTAGTTACAGTATATGAGTATACATTGACTTCACCTGGCACAACACCAATATACCCTTTTTTGGCAGGTCCTAACCCAGCAACCTTGTTATCAGATTAGCCCACTTACTAGGGAAATCCTTTAATTAAGGAGTCAGATCACGGACATTCACACAGGATAATTATTCTGTCAGTGCTCCTATGCACTCTTATTGTGCTGCACATGTTGTCTATTTAATGTATTGCCATATGTTAAAGAAACACATTGAAATTATTGTATATTTTTAACTATTCGGTAGATATACCCCAGAAGAAAACATGCATGTATTCTTACATATTTTCTTTGGAGCTATATGGAAAAAAAAACATTTCACAAAAGCTGCAGGCCCACTGTCTACAGCCTATACAAGTCTCCCTTCCCCCTTTTCAGTCTGTCCTAGGGAAATGACCAGTCTGGAGCTTCTCTATAGGAAGCCTGTGTGCTGGAGCCACACACACACACACACACACACACACACACACACACACACACACACACACACACACATTTGACTGTGGCTTTCAAATGCGTCTCAATGAGTGTAGTACAGCTTATTAAGAGGAGGGAAGGCAGGTACGCTCTGGGCCCAGCGCACCTAACACTTATTAGCTCAGCTTATGGAGGCATATCTCACTCTAGCTGTCTGAGTGACAGTCACAGAGGCATTTCTGCCTCAAATTATAAAAGTGCTAATTTCCAGGCACTTATAGTTAGGTTAATTTAACAGTGTTTGTCTCACAGGTCCTTATAAAACTGAAAGCCGTCATAGTATGGCTGCTATCACTTTAAACTGCATATCCAATTGTCCTATGCGACGAACGAAACTCCTCTTTGGGGATAAAGAACTAACTCCATAATTATCTACTGGACAGGAGGCAGTGGCATATCAGCCACCATTAACCAGAATGATAAGCTCCTATTAAGAGCATCTTATTTATTCTGGCATCACAAAAGGTAGGATACTAATGAAGAAAAGAACAATATATATTAGATAATGCAATTAGTTAAGCAGATGTGTGTGGAGGGCAGGGTAGTGGGAAAATAAAAACATGTATACAACATACATTATTAATACATTTTGACTCGTTTTGTAGAAAAAAACATTTATTTTTATTTGTCAATATCAAGGAATAAACAACTACAAAATTATTTATGTAAAAACAATTAACCAGAGGGTTATTGTGCACTAAAAGACACAAACTTTTAGAAGAAAAATTCTGTTGAACTTTAGTCTGAAAAAATACTTTCTTTTCATACTGTTTACTTACTTCTTTGACGGAAGCAGGAAGTCCTCTCCATTCCTGAGCTATCATCTTTGCAAGTTCTGTAATTTTTGCACCTGTTAAAGGGTAAACGGAAAGATCTTATTTATATTATGTATTCAAATGTCAAAACAATTATAGGAGTCACTAAGGCAGTAAGGGTAAAAGCCACGCATACATAATTATTAGTATGGGCTTTCCACTGTGCATTGGCGAGTGATAATTTAGCCATAGAGATTTATACTATGGCTTGGAATGGCAAGCAACTTTTAAAGCTTGGCTAGTAGCATAGCACTAGACATTTTAAGCCCTAGACTATTCTATATAATGAGGAGTTTCATTTTTACTTACTTTGCTAAAAGGAAAATAAGTTAATGGCCGCAATTTCTGAGAAAACAGAGTGGATAGCTGTTTAACGAAACTCAATCAACATGGATTTGGCCATTTTCATCATTAAACTCTTACCTGGGTATTTTTTGCTTAGTAGGGGTTGTTGCTGAATGGAATAACGAATGTATCCTGTTAAGGGTCGCTTTAGATGGTCATCACTTTTATGGGTTTTGGAAAACCACCTGGTTGCTGAACACTGTACAGCTGAGACTCCGCAGAGAAGGTTGTTGCAACTTAAGGATAAAAATAACACATTCAAATACTAACATGGAGTGATGAGACACTGATCTCACACAGAGCCATTCAGTAAAATCATATAGCAAACTATAATTTAAAGGACCACTATAAGCACCCTTCACTTCAGCTCAATGAAGTGGTCTGGGTGCAAGGTCCCCCTAGTTTTAACCCTGCAGCTGAAAACATAACAGTTTCAGAGAAACTGCTATGTTTACATGGTAGGGTTAATCCAGCCTCTAGGCCGCTTCCGCGATTCTCAGTGTGACAATCGCATTGAACTCTAGCAGCTTGAGTTCAGATCCCCATGGGAAAGCATTGAGTAATGCTTTCTTATGGGCCGTTTAAATGCGAGCGCGACTCTGGTTTTAACCCCTTCAGCCCAGCGGGAGGAGGGACCTAATAACCCTACACTGCCAGAAAAAAAACAGGTTTGTTCTCCTGGCAATATAGTGCTCCTTTAAGCTAAAGAATCGCTACTAAACCTGTGAAGATGACTATAGCAGAGTTGTTTTTTCCCAGCTATTTTGTCCTCATTATAACAATTTGGATGTAAATTATATACAATTTGGAGTTTAATGAAAACCCCAAAACCGTGCAAGCGGCACATAATGAAAACTAGCAAAAAAAACATTTAAAAAAAAAAAAAATCTATAAAAAAAAAGGCATGTCATGAGAGGGTTCTTCGGGCACGTTGTCTAAACATTTTACAAGTTTATTCACTAATTGGGTTATTCCCTAAAGGGAGAATTCAAGGTAAATTTCAAATTTACGGTCAAGGTAGTCAAACTGGAAAAATTCTCCCTGTCAGTTATGCTTCCCATTAAAGGACCACTATAGGAGCCCAGACCACTTCAGCTCAATGAAGTGATCTGGGTGCCAGGTCCCCATAGTTTTAACCCTGCAGCTGAAAACATAGTTTCAGAAAAACTGATATGTTTACATTGAGGGTTAATCCAGGAGACAGCCACTAGAGGTGCTTCTGCGATCCTCAATGCAAAAATCGCATTGAGTAATGCTTTCCTATGGGCGGTTTAAATGCACGTGCGGCTCTGGTTGCGCATGCGGCTCCAATCAGGAGCAGACGTCTGCAGGGGAGGAGAGGTCACCAGTGCCGAGGGAGCCCGGCGCTGCATAAAGGTAAGTGGCTAAGGAGGTTTTAACCCCTTCAGCCCAGCTAGAGGGGGGACCTAATAACCCTATAGTGCCAGGAAAACGAGTTTGTTTTCCTGGCACTATAGTGGTCTTTTAAATTACATTTGGAATTTACTTTGAATTCTCATTTTAGTGAATAACCCTGTAAAAGTATGATTTTAAAATTATTGCAATTTTATGGTAAACTGAAAAACATTATCCAACTCAGCTGTGTTTTAAGTTCAGCCATTTCCGCCTAAAACATGAAATTATCTTTGTATTCCTAAGTACACATACTACCAAGAACAACCTTGTTAATTCGGGTCAAAGATTGCTCTTTGCAGCTGTGTACCATACAATCTCTAGTTATTCCGCACGGACAACTTTATCCTTCAAGTACATATATAGTGGTGGGGGAGCACTTTTGTAAATAAAACTACATGACGACATTTACAAGGACAGGTATGGCCATCTAGAAATTTTCTTTACAAAAAAACAAAAACAAACCCAAAACAGTAAAGGCAGACATTATTTGTGGAAAGTAACATAAATCTTAGTACTATATGAGTATTGAGCAGAATAAGAGTGAACTGAATTTATGGACATAAATAATAAAAATAGATATGATGGTATGCAGTTTCTATCAGTAAATTAGCTCAGAACAGGTTTCCCCCAAACTCTGATCCTCCAAATATTGGGGAACCACAACTCCCATGATCCTCTGGCTATGTATTTCATATGGAGAATCATGGGAGTGGTAGTTCAGCACCATACAGAGAGCCAGAGTTTGGAGACCCTTGAATTAGCCATGAGGTAGGGGGAGCAGGTGTGGGTTTATGGGATATTCTTGCAGTGTTGGTAAGTGGGATAAAGGAGCAGCCCAGTACAGAGGGGGGGGGGGTTAGGGCAGCTAGCAGTATCAATGGAAGGCAGTATGGCCGCCACCTTGTTCTCGGTGTGAAGCTCAGCTCGGCCAAGGACCTCACAAGGTGGCCAAATCCACGAGACAGGATGGAGACCATGGCTGTCAGAGTAACGCGATCACCCAGTCCCACTTTGATTTCAACTTCCGGCCCCAAGGCATGCCGGGAGTGTGCTTCCCTACCTGCCTTTCTTCCCTTAGAGCGCGACTATAAGGTTCCGGGTGAAACAACAGCTCTAGAACATAGAACGCGAATAGAACTATCAACTAGTCAGGGACGAGTAACGCAAAGACTGTTACTGGTAGTAATGTATGGATAGGGACAGCAAGGCATTGAGTATCAGTACTGATAGTGCCTAGTACAAAGTGAAACTCAATGTTATAGAAAACAAATGGTATATTTATCATATAGGAAAATGGTTATAAATTTTAAAAAAATAATAATAATTCGTGGATATATTTCTTTAATAAAGATCAGTGGGTAAATTTAATATTATTGAAATACATGAATAAGCTCTGTTTTCGACTGCAGTGAGTACATGTAAATGAATGGATAATAAAATCCAATATAACTGTAAGGTATGAATAATCTCTTTTTTTTCTATTGCAATTAATACCTGCAAAGGAATGGACAGTGTACGTTAAAAAGGACACTCAGGATTTTTGCGTAGGGAATCATCTTATATTTAAAGACAGTACAATGGATGTCCCCATATGTGTGCGGCAACCATCAATTAAAATTTCTGTTGTACCAAACTGTTAAAAGCAGCAGATGAGCCACAACCTGTTAGTCACCAGCGGACAGAGCTAAGAAGGGAAGCCGGGTGCACCCTTGTGTGTTGGGACAATATGCCTTAATCCTTGAGTCCTCACAATGTTTGTGGCAAAGAGCTAGTTGATATATCTTCTGTCCGTACTCCCACCTCTGATGCTCGCCTTCAAGACTTCTCGAGGGCTGCACCATTCCTGTGGAACTCGCTTCCCTCCTCTGTTAGATGCTCACCCAGTCTCCACTCCTTCAAAAAATAGTTAAAAACCCACTTCTTCATAAAAGCGTATCAATTCAACAGTTCATAGCTCCCAACTGATTCCTCTTCTGCAACTGTGACTAGTCTAATACTATCCTTACCTTTTTGTGTCATTTTACCCCACTCCCTCTAGCATGTAAGCTCACTGAGCATGGCTCTCAACCCCTCTGTTCCTGTGTGTCCAACTTGTCTGGTTACAAATACATGTCTGTTTGATGGCGCTATATAAATAACATAATAATAATAATAATAATATGAAAAAATTATGTACTAAATAATACGTGAATAATAAGCCAATGAATTTGAAGTGTTTGCACTATAGTCACCAAAGCAACTTCAGCTTAGCAGTTTTGGTGTATAGATCTTGCCCCTGCAGTTTCACTGCTCAATTCTCTGCCATTTTGAAATTAAATCACTTTGTTCATGCAATACTAGTCACAACTCCTTGCATGTGACTTGCACAGCCTTCCTAAACACTTCCTGCAAAGAGTCATCTAATTTACACTTCATTAATTGCAAATTCTGTTTAATTTAGAATTTCTTATCTCCTACTCTGTTAATAGCTTGCTAGACCCTGCAGTAGCCTTCTGTATGTAATTAAAGTTAAATTTACAGAGCAGGCGATAACAAATTTTAAAGTAAGTTGATGTGATTGAAAATGAAACAATTTTTTTTAATGCAGGCTGTGTCAGTCACAGCAGGAGCGGAGGGGGTGACTAGGGCTGCATAAACAGAAACAAAAGTGATTTAACTCCTAAATGGCAGAAAACTGAGCAGTGAGACTTCAGAGGCATGATCTATTACACTAAAACAGCTTCATTAAACATATTTTCTTGGACAGAAAAACTTTACCAACAATTCTTAAACAATTTTAGAATTATGCAAAAAAAGTGTGAATTCTCAGGAATTAGAAGCAAATTTCTGGGTCAACATAGACCAACTATTTTTTTTTCAAATCTAGCTATGATGCTTAACATTTTAAATTCACTTTACATTCTTTATACTTCAGATTGGCTCCCTTTTATGTGTAGCAATGTGTAGCAATTTTAATAAATGCGTGTTAAGTCTTCACTGAGTGTCTCAACCACTCGAGGCACTGAGCACACAGGCAGAGCATCGGAATCCTGCCCGATGGCTTCCGACGCTTTGCTACACTACCGGGCGCCACATGGGGCAACCTGGATGTTTTCGCTCCTGGGGAGCGATCACTCGGCGTCCCCGCAATCAAGAGAGGTATTACAGGATGCCTCGATATCGAGGCAACGCTGCAATAATACTAGAGCGTCTGGGACCGTTTTTGTCGGACGTACCTAGTACATCCACAATCCTTAAGGAGTTAAGCTAAAGTTTTTTTGATGACTATAGTTTCCCTTTAAGGAAGAAAATGAAGAGAACACTCGTCAGAGTGGCTCGGTCACATGGTATTATGTGGCTAGGGCAAAGTGCAGTGTGAGAGCACATTTTTCACCTACCCATACTGTACTTGGGACTTTTATATGCAACTTATTAGTCTCAGGCTTGGTGTAAGAGTCCCGCTGCTGCTACACTTTTTTGGGGACAGCTGGGAAAGCAGAATAGGACCCTGAAATTGGGACAGTCCTGCTGAAAGTGGAAGGATTGGGAGGGCTACTGTGGTGAGAACACAATGACTATACAGAGTGTTTCAGCAGCGCTCCGTACATGGTCTGCCTTGAGTGGGGCAGTCTATCATCAGCCTGATATGCATGCCTTGAGTGGGGCAGTCTGTCATCAGCCTGATCTGCATTCACGCCAGGCTGAGGTGCGCTCTTTTTTGGTGGCCCCACTTCTTGCCAGGCAGGGCTGCCCTTTTCGGGCATTGTTAGTGGTGTCAATGCCATGCCCTTTTAGGCCAGCCCACCTTCTGTCTTGAGTTTATACCTAGTTATGTGCTGGATAAACACCCAAGAATAGAGGACAAACATCCACACTCAATTGTGTGAGTAAAAAGTCCATCCTTTGCATTTGTTTGTCAGCTTGGCAAGATCTTGCCAGGCTGTCACAACCCTTCAATGGTCCCGAATTCCATACCTCGCCTCTTTGGCTTATTAACTAAACTATAAATATAGACTAATAACTAAAACAATAGTAAATTTTGCAAATTTTAAGGCAAAATTGTAGAGTTACAAAATTGTTGAATTGAATAATTATCTGTTGACTTTTTTTTTTCTTTGCTTAAATTAAACATTTTTTTTTTTATTATTTCCTGTACAGTTAGCTAAATTCTAGGTTTAGTGAATTAATCGTGTTTTTATAACATGTTCCCATAATGTATTACATTTTTTTTTTTATTGTTTTATTTTCTTAAACTAAGATGTAGGTGCAATTTTTAACAAGACTGTACTGCACGGTGATATGTCATTTGACTACTGTGGAATACGGTTGTGGAACCTTTGTTCTCGAAGTTAGTTTCCATCCGGATCTTTTTTTGAGCCGGACCAAGGGGAAACGCATCGTCCTCAGTTAACCATGTGGTTCCGGTGCCTGTCCTGCGCATGGTTGGTGTATTGACGGCATATAGGGGGTCCTGATAGGAAGATGGTAGCCACAAGAAGAGGCATGGCGGTAGAGCCGCCAGAGGAGAGGGAAGGAAAGGCAGAGGACACCACCGGGCAGGTAAATGTGAACTACAAAGTGTTAACTGTGCCAACAAATAGGGTTTCAATATGTGCCAACTGCTGTGAGTCCATGTAACTGAGCACATGGGATGCATCTTGACAAAGTGCTACATAGTTCTGTAGCTGAAGTGTATTCATTCCTCTGCAGAAAACCTGGTGTGTGTTTTGTTTTTGTTTGTTTGTTTTCTGGCACTGTACTTTATATTTAAATGCTACCTGGGGGAGCAAACCAACTCTCTGTATGCAACATAAATTTTAAAAAATTAAGAGATGCGGAATTTTCAACTCACCTTAACAACTTCATCGGAACTTGCACTCTTTTGAGATATAATGAAAGTCTACCTTTCATTGTGCTAGCAGATTTGTTAGCAAATATACAAAGTGGGGAAGAAAATAAAATTAAAATAGGTAATTCTCCACTTTTTAATCACTTTTAAAGCACAGACTCTGTGCAGAAACCACAGTTTTTATTGTATATTGATATTTTTGACACTGCTTGGTTTACAGCATTTGATGTCCCTGATGAAGTTATTGAATGAACGAAATGCGTAGGACCTGGGCTTAATGATATACTTTTAATTCATGTTATTTTAAATCATTTGTTTTCGGTATAATCACTTTTTTTGTAATCCTTAACTGGGTTCCTGACTTCTCTCAGTTCCTGGATTGAAGGGGAAAAAAAAGTCAGTGGCATTGAGGAGGTCGATTAAAGCATCACAATCAGGAGAGGCACCCTTAAGGCAATCTTAAATTCTATATCTTGTTGGTGCAATTAAAAAAAAGTGTGTCACTTTATTTATAACAATATCACACTATGTTCTGTTGATATATTCTTTTCAGATTTTACAGCTGCATCCCTATCATTACTATATATGTGACTGAATTCACCCAGAGAAGCATTTCAGAATCAAAATACTTGCCAGGTCTTCTCTCTGACATTAATACAGCAATCCCAGATGATTGTTTCAGTGAAGTTCAGCTGATATATTTTGATGCCAAGTGAGGAAAGGGGTCCACCAGCATTATTTACAGAAGTGTGAATTACCAGGAGTGTAAATGGGTTATTTATTAAAGTGAGAATTGGTGGGTATTCAAAGTAAATAGCAAATGTAAGGCCAAAGTAGCCAAACTGAACACTAAAATTGAGTGTTTGCCATTTTGACCTAAAATTTGAAATTCACTTTGAATTCCTGGCGATGTTCACTTTAGTGGATTTAACATTTTAGCCCTTTTTTTCCAAACTGCAAACATAGCTGACAGATAATTTTTCCTCTTTGGCAATTTTGACAGGCAGGGTCAGAATGCTTTTGTGCAAGAGCTCCAGTTTACTTTTTGACCATAAAGAGGGCATGCCATCTTAGAATGCATGCACACAATATTAACAGTCTGACAGTTAAAGCAAACTAAGCACTCTTGTACGGGTGGAATCATCCTGGAACGACTTTCATTCAGTTGCAAGCATGTTGCAGCACTGCCTTCTGATTTATGGGCATTGTTCACTTGTGTCCTGCTTCTGGACAACCATAACATAAGTTTTAAATTTAGACTGACCCACCAAATTCAGAACAGATGGGTGGTATTCACTTGTGCCATTAGTGTAAAACAAGAATCAATAGTTAGCCCATTATATTGGTCACAACCACATTATTTACTTCCTCAGTTTCCTGATTCTGGCTAGTTGCTGGTAAGTTACAAGTTCCTACCCTGGCATCCTTTTGCAATGGATATTGGATGTGGCACTCAAAACATCCATCTGTTTTTCATAAATGGGTGTGCAACTGTCCACCCTCAGTGTCATTGAATCTATTCTTGAATTTACCTGTAATTTTTTTTTTTTTTTTTAGCCCCTCATGGAAGTCAGCACTCCTGCATCCCAAGTTCAAACACGGAACCGAGTAAAGAGGACCTCTGAATCAAAAGATGATGCTAATGATAGCACAGATCCATCAGAGTCACTTAAGCCAGATGTACAGATTGTTACCAGAAGCAGACGTAGAAGTGGACAGCCGGATGGGAATGTTTCTGAAGCCGACTCTACTACTTCAAGTCACTCAACGGGAAAGAATAGACATCTAACAGAATCTTCAAGGAAACTAAGAAGTCACAGGTCTCGTTTGACAACTGAACCAATTAAGGAGTCCAAGGAAGATAGTGAGTTGTCTGAAGCAGAATCAAATTGTTCTTCAGTTTCTATGAGAGCCTCAAACAGACGGTCTTCAACTATTTCCAGTACACTCAGAAGAAGCTGTAGGTCTGTTGTAGTTTCTGAGTCTGCGATTGTCATTAAGGAAGATGAAGATATTTCAGAGGTAGAATCAAACTGTTCCTCTGTTTCAGGGGTGCAAAATGTTAGAAGAACCCGAGTGACAAGGAGTAGACAAAGAATGGCAAATCGCATACAGTCTCCTGTCAAGGAATCACAAATAATTGAAATATCTGATGCCGAATCTTGTAGTTCTGGTATTTCTTCCCAGCCCCTTGCAAGACGAGTAGGCAGAAGAAATGCATGTAAATCACAGAAAGAAGTTCATGACGAACATTTAAAGGAAACAAACAATGATACTGTTGAGGAAGTGGAAACTCTTTTAAAGAAAACATCTAGTTCACCTATGCCAGTAGAGAGAAGTCCTGAAGCAGACCCCAACATATCACCACGCAGAATATTAAGGAATAGGCAAATTGATCTGAAGATTGATATCATGAATACTTCTGTTACTGAACTACAGGTGAAAGAACAAGCTAAGCAGACATCCAACAAGGCTTCTGATGTGGAGCACCCAGAAACATCCATTAAAGAGGATGAAATAGTTTTCACTGCTGAAAATATTATTGCATCACCTTCAACAAAAAATACATTGTCTTCTGCAGTAAGCAGGAATGTATCAGAACGGATAGATCTGACAGGCAAATCAGAGGTAGAATTGGTGGATGTTGACCAAGATCCTTCAGAATCAAGTAACACAAAGGAGACAATCTCAACATTCATCATTGATGACGATGATCAAAGTCCAGGTTCTGAAAAAAGATTTGGTGAGGATAACATAATGAGTCCAGAGATTTCTAATAAATCATCTGTTAAAGAAAATGATATACTGTTGTTACTTAAAAGTGATGACAGTTCAGAATCTGAACAAGACTATGTGGAAGAAGATGAAACAGATGACGAAATAGAGATCGACACACCACTTGTAGAAAAGGATGTAAGACGGAATGTTCAACAGCCTTCAGAGGATTTAATGGAAGATGGCTTTTTTGTTATTGACACCAAACCTGGATCAGATTCTAGTAAAAAGTATTTTATTGAACAAAAAGATGATGGTAGTGGTGGCGATGATGAAAAAGATGGAACGAGTGAAGAGGAGGAACCAGATGAATCTGATGAAGATTTTATTGATGAAGATGAAGATGATGCACTGTTGAACAAACCGAAACATGGCTTGTATGTGTCGAAATTCTTTCTTAAAAAAAAAACAAAAAAACACAAAGTCAACAGTCTCTGGCTATATATATATTCTATTAATCATTTACTCAAGTGTACATTTTTGTGAATTTCAAAATATAGAACAAAGTAGCTAAGTTGGAAACCACCTTGTTTTCAGTTTGACTATTTTGGTTGAAAGTTGGAATTCACTATGATTTTTTTTTTTTTTTTGATAATTCTAACTTTGAGTAACCTTGTTTATATTTTGGAAATGTTTGATATATAGAATACATTCAAGGTCCATACAGTAGGTGCAACCGCGTAGCAAGTTGTTATGGTTAGATGATGCAAACAGGAAAAACTGAAACTGCATGAAAAATGAACACTACACTTTTTATACATACATGTTTAATCATGTTCTGTTTTTATAGGTCACTATCAACCAACATAGACACTGGGCTGAAACTTAAGGATTTAGGAGGCTTATATATAAGCTTTAATGCTGAAAAGCCAGACCCCGGCCCAAGTTTGCTTCAGAAAATGAAAAAGGAGCACAAGAAGATGGATGAGGTAAATTTATTTGACTATATTTAGTTTTACATCAGCTGGTCTAGTTCATTAAATTCTAGTCTAATAGACTAAGCCACGGCTTGACAAATTTGCTTGGAATCTAGGAGCCAGCTAAAAAAGTTAGGAGCCAGGTTTTTCAACGTCAAAAAATGCCATTTTTAAAGGGACACCATAGTCAACAAAACCAATACAGCTTAATGTAGTTGTTCTGGTTTGTATAGCCAGTACCTGCACACTTTTCAATGTAAACCCAAGAAAAGGCAGTGTTTACATTGCTGCCTAGTAACACCTCTAGTGGCAGCCACTCAGATGTCTTCTAGAGGTGGATCCTGGGTCAGTGCTACACAATGTGCAGCGCCTACACACTCTGCTTGGTGCAGCGCAGTGTTTTGCTGCACCTGCGCAATAGAGTCCCAATACTTTCCCATGGGAAATTGTTGGATTGATGATCTCTGCCATGGAGGCGGGGCCAACTGCACTGAGACCCACACAGTGTCTGAAAAAAGTGTGGTTAAAAAACCAAAAAACTCCTTTCCTATGTGATTTGGAGGGGGCCGGTTACCTAAACAGACACTCAATGACAAACACACATACAGTCACACACACTCACTGATTTGACGCACACTGACAGGCACACACATTTTCTCACACACTCACATTATTTGTTTTGTTTTATTTCACTGTTTCCACCCAGCCTCACTACCTTTTGGGAAAGCTGGAGTGGATCAGTTTCCCTGTGATCCAGTCGTCCTCTCCAAGCTCTGCTCTCCAGTGCACTGTTTAGTAATGCCCGGGGCGGAGTGACTTCATCATGGCTACCAGAATCACTGGAGAGCGTAGGAGGATGCTCCCTGAACAGGCTGGCCATCCTCATCTGGTCTCTTAGCCAGCCACATTTATGTCTGAAAGGGCTGACAAATCCCAGGTGCCAGGACAAAATTCTTAGTCAACCTGGCACCTGGGTTTTGTCGAGCCCTGCACTAAGCAATGTAAACAGCACTTTAGTACTTTACAAAGTACTTAAAGGGACACTATAGTCACCAGAACAAAATAACTCCCTTCAGGCATTTTCATGTAAACACTGCCTTTTCAGATGGCCACTGGAGGGACTTCCTGGCTCAGGGCTGCACAGTAAGCTGCCCCTCAGATGGTGCTGATTGGCCAAATCGGCAATTGGCCCCGCCCAATGCTTTCACCATGGGAGGGGGCAAGCCACCTAAATGGTGGGTTTCCTCATAGAGGCTGGAATACATGTTTTTTGTTCCTGACCCTATAGTGATCCTTTTACCAGGAGAGGCGCATTTAGATTACTCTGGTTTTCAAGTACGTCCTGAGGGTGTTACCTTAGTCCAACATCCAGGGGTTGTTACCATTACCCAATTTAACGGTACTCATTTTATCTACCTCAGAAGGATGAAGGGCTGAGTCAACCCTGCCAGGATGCGACCCAACGGTTGAACAGATTCTACTGATGGTGCATTAGCCCACTGAGCTATCTCAATGATGGAATATTTGTAAGGGTAGAAAGTGTGTACATACAGGATAGACAGTTTTGTGCCACAGGACAGTAAAACTATATAGGTAGATGTTTTGTTATGTGACAAATTTGATTAACTGTGGCAAGCCAGTCCTTGCAAGTGTGTATCCATGTCACTACCTATACTGCTGTATATTTATAATTGTATTACTGCTTAATGATTCCTGGTCCCGACCACCCTTTTTTTTTTTTTTTTTCAGCTTCTGAAGAATAGTGTAATAACTCCTGACTTTGAAAAGAAGGAATGTGTCCCATCACATAAAGAACAAACTAAACAACTGAAGAAAGAGAGAAAGGTTAGTGTTAAATACTGTCTGTGTAATGTATTTAAACTATAAAGACCTATCTTCCTGCACCTGTTCACTGTGTTTTAGGACTACAGTTATTGCAAAGAATAAAAAAAAAGTGGACGGTACAACCCACCAACAAATGTCAAGGTGGATGTTTATGCTTTCCCTTGCCTGTCTGGTTAATTGAATAATAGTACAAGTCCTCATATTCTCCAAATGGGAATGCTGGCTCCATGAATAGAGCTTTTTCTGTTGTCTTGTGGCAGCTGCTGTCTGTTTTGATAGTAGTTTTATTCCGTATTCTCCAGCGGTTCTATTCATCAGATAAATTTAACTATATATCCAACAAACACCTAATTGGCCAGGTTACGGAACATGCATGGTTCTAGTGGAGAAAACTAAGAACACCTGACAGTCTGCTTCTTCTTAAATTTGGAGACCTTACTTACAGTCATAGTAGGAGAATCACAGAACTTTGTTATAACAACTGACATTTCCAAAACAATTTAACGTGAATTATTTATTTTTATTTTTTTTTCTTCTCTTCAAAATGCAACTTACGGTGTATGACAAGGATGTATAATAGAACAAGAACAATAAACATATTCTAGTAAATGAGGGGTTTGGATTTTTAGTTTACGCTTTTTTGCTCCTGAAGGTTTTAAAAGCACCTACCAGTGACATGAAGTGAAGCCACGGTTATCAGCACAGCTACGGTGTGACTTGCACCACTGTGTTGCTGAGAAACGTTTAGGAATTCTAAGCCATGTTGAACTGTCTAGCTGTTGCATTAAATGTATCATGCAGTATTCCCTACTTTCAGTTGTCTAGTGTTGTCCAAATTCATTATGAGGTTTGATCAAGGATGATGATAAAACCTTTTTTTTTTTTTTTTTTTTTCTCCATTTCTCATCTTTCCCCTTATGTAGGAAGAACGGGACAAGTCAAGTGGCCGTGGCTGGTTTGACATGAAAGCTCCAGAGCTAACTGATGAGCTGAAGAATGACCTCAAGGCTCTAAAAATGAGATCCGCAATGGACCCAAAACGATTCTACAAGAAAAATGACAGGGATGGTTTTCCTAAATATTTCCAGGTAAGGGACATCTAAGAAGTTAAACCTTACAGGTCAAGATGACAAATTGACACCAAAATAGAGAAAAATGCTTACTTCTTTTTAAGCATGTATAGTTAAAAGGACTTTCCTGGCACTTTTCCACTATATACCATATTGTGTATTGATTGATTCTGGCACTTGGTGGTTGAAGTCCTTATTTATTACTTTTTAGTCTTCTCGTTGTTTAATTGGCAGCCCTAATGATCCCAAGTCACTTCAAATGAACCAAACATGTTGGTTCTAAATGTTACCTTAGATGTCAACTTTTATGTTACAAATGATGATTTTTCTTTTTCTATCTAGGTTGGCACTGTGGTGGACAACTCTATAGACTTCTATCACTCCCGAATCCCAAAGAAAGAAAGAAAGAGAACAATTGTGGAAGAACTTTTGGCAGACTCAGAATTTAGAAGGTAATGCAATCTTAACATTTGTTCTTCATGGTCCATGTGGTTCTAGCTATCCCCACAAATACCCTATTTAAAGTCTCTTTGTACCCGGAGAGATCCCTCGGCTGCCGTCTGAAGGATCTCTTGCCCCCAGGAACTCTGATAAGTGCTTGTTCAACTTACTGGGTCTTTTTTTTTAGCTCTGCTACCACTGTGGCCTCTTTCTCGGTGCCACCATCTTTAGATAAAGATAGAGGTTGCCTGAAATTATATCTTCTGCCCTTTCCTGGGTATGCGTGTGACATCAAGCACATACCCTGGTGATCCACGGTTTTCACTGATCTCAACATTGACTCTCATAATAGCGTAAGAGTCAACAATGAGGATCACGGATGTGCCACTTCAAGAAGTGATGTGCCGCTGGAAGGTGATGAGTAAGGGGAAGAAAAATCGGCAATTGATAAATATCGTGGAGCTTGACCAAAGCTTCACCCTTTGTCCATCTTCAAGTTATACATACAGAAAAATAATCCCTACTTTTCCTTGCGTATCATTTTGCAAATATTTATAAATAAAAAAAATTAAAGATTTGCTTTAATACATTTCTATTAAAAGTGAACCTGTCATCCACAAATTATGTGGATGGACATGTTCAACTTCAGGTAAGTTTGGACCAAATTTATACAGAGTGAATCTTCAGCAAATGCATAGACTGAAAGAGTCCTCTAAGTATCAAAACTACATCAACTGATGTGGGTATCATCTAAATATAATATCCTTGCCATTTCTCATTTCAAACTAATACAGAGAAAGAGACATTGCATAGATTTGGAAAAATGTTGCCAAGATGGGAAGGAGGGGATGCTTTAACTTGCAGGTTGGCTAACTATGATCTGCGAGCTATGTTGTCACTAAACTTACAACCAGTAAACTCGCATGATGTGGCTTTTGTAGTGTTAATACTCCATGGCTTTCCTGTAAGCAGCATTGATTTTATTACCGTATATACTCGAGTATAAGTCGAGTTTTTCAGCACATTTTTTGTGCTGGAAAAACCCCCACTCGACTTATACTCGAGTTAATGTCTGTATTATGGCCATAATGCAGACCAGGACCGCCGGGCTCATTACAAGCCCGGCGGTCCTGTTGGGGGCTGACAGTGAGAGGTTACTTACCTTCCTGCAGCTCCTGTCAGCTCCCTTCTCCTCCGTGCAGCTCCTCTGTCAGCTCCCACTGTAAGTCTCGCGAGAGCCGCGGGGTCACCGCGGTTCTCGCGAGACTTCCAGTGGGAGCTGCACGGAGGAGAAGGGAGCTGACAGGAGCTGCAGGAAGGTAAGTAACCTCTCACTGTCAGCCCCCCTCCTACACAGCCCATACACTGGACCACCAGGGAGTGAGAGCCCCCCTCCAAGGCAAGCTAACAAGCAGGGAGGGGGGATGAAAATTTAATACATTTTAAAAAAATACAATAAATATTAAAATAAACTTAAAATATTAAAATAAACGTAAAATATTAAAAAAAATAATAAAATTAAAAAACTTAAAATATATTAAAAAAAAATTATAATAAAAATGCCCTCATCCCACCCAGTTCACACACACATATACTCATTCAAACAATCTGCATTCTACACACACACTCATACAGAGTGTGGGCGTATATAATGCGTGTGTGTTTGTATGAGTGTGTGTGTAGAATGCAGATTGTTTGTATGAGTGTGTGTATAATGCAGTGTGTGTGCGTATATAATGCAGAGTGTGTGTGTGTGTGTGTGTAGAATGCAGATTGTTTGTATGAGTGTGTGTGTGTAGAATGCAGATTGTTTGTATGAGTGTGTGTGTGTGTGTGTGTGTATATAATTCTAAAAATCACAGAATTTCATAGCCCCAAGTTTTACCCTCGACTTATCCATGAGGCATAGCATATTTCACAATTGTTGGTCACAAAACTGCCCTCGACTTATACATGAGATCGACTTATACACGAGTATATACGGTAATTCTTAAAACACATGGACTTTAAGTCTTTGTCACATCAGATGTTGCTTCTTTTGTATCTCCCCTTCATATTCTCTCTTGTATCTGTTTTTTTTTGTTTTTTGTTTTTTTAATTCTTGTTTCTATTTTTATTTTTTTTTACCTTTTAGATATAACAAAAAGAAATTCACAGAAATTATGGCAGAAAAGAGAGCGCAGGCAGAAGGAAAGAAGAACAGAAAAAAGAAGAAATTCCGAAAGTGAAGCAGAATTAAAACATCGTTTACAATTGTATCGGTTATTCCTGCGACACATTAACTGTTAAGATATATAATCTGCAGCTTTCTAACAAATTAACTGTGAGATTCCAAGGAAGAGGGTGAAATCACATCAAGCCTTCTTTTCATAAGGATTTGTGTAGAAATCAGGCAATACCAATGTGTACACTTGGTTCCAGACTAATTTGATTACAGCTTTGTAAGTAGTGGGTTTTTAAATTGTGAAGATCTGCTACATTAAACAGTTCTGTATTAAACTGCACCTTTATTTTCGCATTTTCTCTGGACTTGTATAGTACCTGGGCGGCATTCCAAATGTTGGTTTAGAGCTGTACTAAAACTTTGCCAGCATATTATTCAATGATTGCAATTCAACTGTTGGAGTCTGGCAGAGAATCACAGGTATTATCTTTCGCTTGTGACTGAGGAGTCTCAGATGGAATTTTGTTTGCATTTGTGCCTAATATTTTTGTATTATCTTCCTTTAACATGTGACATTATCTCTTGATCAGTTTTGGGTACTATGTATCTCTTGCTGCACTGTCTCAAAATGTTGAGTTCAATCGAATTCTTGTTAAGAGCTCAGTTTGAGTAGTTTATCCAATTTTATCAACCATCAAGTTTCCTTGTTGAAACTTTGAAGGGAGAGAGGATTGATGAACCACAATAGGGTTTTAAAATATATATATATGAAAATAAATTCGAGGGCTGCATTCACGGTCTAAGTAATTTCTTTTTTCCATAAAATGAACGAGATCGACGTTTCGGTCCACGCAGGGACGGTCCTCAGGATCAAATGACGGCCGATTGTTTCGGCTGTGGGAGATGTGCTGGAGCCAATTGCTAAATGGTTGGATGTTTTATTGAAACAACAAGTTATGGAATTGGATACCTGTATAAAAGATACACCTTTATTCATAAAAGAAATGTCATCGCTGCAAGTGAATGGAAGGCCTATAGTATTGATAACGATGGATGTTAAAAGCCTCCATACAGTTATTCCGCATACACAGGGTATTGAAGCTACGAGACAAGTATTGACATACTCAGTTGTATAGAGGTGCACCTATTGAATATACTCTACAACTTCTTGATTTAGCGTTGTCCAACAATTATTTAAGATTTGAGAATGCCTGGTTTATGCAAATAGCCGGCACTTCGATGGGAGCTGCCATGGCCCCATCCTATGCAAATATCTTCATGTATATATTCGAAATTACCTACATTCTTCCACGCTATGGTGTTAACATTCTTCGATTTATCGAGGATATACTTATTTTCTGGACGGGTACTGTACAAGATGCTCAACAGATGGTTAATAGTGATGTACCGAACGGTTCGCTGGCGAACGGTTCCTGGCGAACATAGCATGTTCGCGTTCGCCACAGCGGGCGAACATATGCGCGGTTCGACCCGCCCCCTATTCGTCATCATTGAGTAAACTTTGACCCTGTACCTCACAGTCAGCAGACACATTCCAGCCAATTAGCAGCACAGCCTCCCTAGAAGACCCTCCCACCTACTGGACAGCATCCATTTTAGATTCATTCTCAAGCTGCATGCTTAGTAAGAGGAGGGAAAGTGTAGCTGCTGTTCATAAGATAGGGAAAAGCATAGCTAGGTTAGGGATAAGGGTATGCTTTTTTTGGATTTTTTTTTTCTATGTAATGTAAATGCACTTAGTTGTCTGCCACTGCTGCCAGCTTCTGTGTCAGGCTCACAGTGCCCATTTCCCCAGTCAGTGCCACCAATTACATCTGGTGTCACAATAGCTTGGATTTAAAAACAAAAAACTTTTTTCACTGTTATAGATTGAATAGCAGTCAGTTGTCTGCCACTGCTGCCAGCTTCTGTGTCAGGCTCACAGTGCATACTGTGCCCATTTCCCCAGTCAGTGCCACCAATTACATCTGGTGTCACAATAGCTTGGATTTAAAAACAAAAAACTTTTTTCACTGTTATAGATTGAATAGCAGTCAGTTGTCTGCCACTGCTGCCAGCTTCTGTGTCAGGCTCACAGTGCATACTGTGCCCATTTCCCCAGTCAGTGCCACCCAATTACATCTGGTGTCACAATAGCTTGGATTTAAAAACAAAAAACTTTTTTCACTGTTATAGATTGAATAGCAGTCAGTTGTCTGCCACTGCTGCCAGCTTCTGTGTCAGGCTCACAGTGCATACTGTGCCCATTTCCCCAGTCAGTGCCACCAATTACATCTGGTGTCACAATAGCTTGGATTTAAAAACAAAAAACTTTTTTCACTGTTATAGATTGAATAGCAGTCAGTTGTCTGCCACTGCTGCCAGTTTCTGTGTCAGGCTTACAGTGCATACTGTGCCCATTTCCCCAGTCAGTGCCACCAATTACATCTGGTGTCACAATAGCTTGGATTTAAAAACAAAAA